GTTTTCTGGTGGTTTATTGGAGATAGGAGTCTCACAGTCTCTCCTGCCCGGGCTGGCTTTGAACCGCGATCCTCAGATCTCAGCCTCCTGAGTAGCTAGGATTACAGGCGTGAGCCACCAGCACCCAGCCTAAGCTTTCTCTTATTTAAGAAAAAAATCTAGGAAAGTAAACAAAATGCATGAAATAAGTTTCCAGAGTCTTGGCAATGAGAAGCACAAGACAGGGAAAAGAATGGGACAGCGTCTGGAGACTGGTGATTCATGCCTGTAATCCTAGATACCAAGGAGACTGAGATCTGAGGACTGCAGTTCAAAGCCAGCCTTGACAGGACAGTTGTGAGACTCATGTCCAATTAACCACCAGAAAACAGGAAATGGAGCTGTGGCTCAAAGTGGTAGAGGCTAGCCTTGAGTTCAAGACCCATGACAGACCAAAAAAAAAAGGTAGGTTTGCAACTACACCAGGTAACAACTTGAAGGGAATATCCAGACTACAGGCAGGCACAAAGAAGCTGTAACTGACTAGTCTCACAAAGCTAAGCAGACATTGCCAACATGGCAGAATTCTCAGAAGATAGATGAACAGGAGCAACTCTGGAGACTTTCCAGAGATCCTCTAGTATTTGGCTGTGTATTAATATATAAATATAGTGGAGGGGTTGGGAAGGTGGCTGGGAAGTAGTAGAGCACTTGCCTTGCATGCATGAGGTCCTGGGTTCGATTCCTCAGTACCACATAAGCAAAAAGAAAAAAGCCAGAAGTGGCACTGTGGCTCAAGTGGTAGAGCACTTGCCTTGAGTTGAAGAGTGAGGGACAGCACCCAGGCCCAGAGTTCACTCAGTACCACATAAGCAAAAAAAAAAAAAACAGAAGTGGCTCTGTGGCTCAAGTGGTAGAGCACTTGCCTTGAGTTGAAGAGTGAGGGACAGCGCCCAGGCCCAGAGTTCAGGCCCCACGACCGGACCCAAAAAAAATGCATATATATATATGGTGAAGAAACTACCTACATCAGAAGCCAGTTAGAGAATTCCTCAGCACAATCTGTATTCTTATCATCCAGAATAAAAGTTTTTTCTCACATGAGGAAATGTTCATCATCCCTGGTGGTGAAGGAAATGCAAATAAAGACAACCCTGAGATACCACCTTACCCCAGTCAGAATGTCCCACA